CCGCCTGTGTCCCCTGAGCAGCCCCACTGTCTCCGCAGATCTTCTGGGAGGATGGGATCATGTCAGGGTACCGGCACCCCAAGAGCTCAGCCCTTGACTGTGTCCTCAGCTCCTTCCAGATGACTAACGAGACAGTCAACATCTGGACACACTTCCTACCCACCTGGTGGGGATGGGAACAGGGACAGGGATGGGGCCGTGAACAGGAATGGGGATGGGGATATGGGATAGGGATAGGGATGGGGACAGGCATGGAGATGGGGACAGGGATGGGGGACAAGCAGAGGGTGAGGAGGGGATGAAGGGATGAAAGGATGGGGTTGGGATGAAGGGGTGGGGATGGGATGAAGGGATGGGGATGAAGGGATGGGGATGAAGGGATGGGGATGAAGGGATGGGGATGAAGGGATGGGGATGAAGGGATGGGGATGAAGGGATGGGGATGAAGGGATGGGGATGAAGGGATGGGGATGAAGGGATGGGGATGAAGGGATGGGGATGAAGGGATGGGGATGAAGGGATGGGGATGAAGGGATGGGGATGAAGGGATGGGGATGAAGGGATGGGGATGAAGGGATGGGGATGAAGGGATGGGGATGAAGGGATGGGGATGAAGGGATGGGGATGAAGGGATGGGGATGAAGGGATGGGGATGAAGGGATGGGGATGAAGGGATGGGGATGAAGGGATGGGGATGAAGGGATGGGGATGAAGGGATGGGGATGAAGGGATGGGGATGAAGGGATGGGGATGAAGGGATGGGGATGAAGGGATGGGGATGAAGGGATGGGGATGAAGGGATGGGGATGAAGGGATGGGGAAGAAGGGATGGGGATGGGATGAAGGGATGGGGATGGGGATAGGGACAGGGATGGACCTCACCCCAGTATATGCTGTGCCCACAGGTATTTCGTGTGGCGCTTCCTGGTCCTCTCATCCTCCCTGGACTTCTGCCAGGAGCCCTACCACTGGCCCCTGCTCATCTACCTGCTGCTCGTCTGCCTCTACCCCTTCGCCTCCAGCTGCGCCCACACCTTCAGCTCATGTCGGCGCCTGGCCCCTGCTCATCTCCCTGCTGCTCGTCTGCCTCTACCCCTTCGCCTCCAGCTGCGCCCACACCTTCAGCTCCATGTCGGCGCGTGCCCGCCATATCTGCTACTTCTGCGACTACGGAGCCCTCAGCCTCTACAGCCTGGGTGAGCCCAGAAGCCCTGGAGTGGGACCGGCGCGGGGCTGGGGAGGCAGCCAGGGGTGCGGGCAGGGGCAGGGCGCCGCTGGGCGCGCGGTGCTGCGTTTCTCTTGCAGGCTGTGCCTTTGCCTATGGTGCCTACGCGATGCCGGACCACTGGGTCAGCGGCGTTTTGCATCGGTATTTTGTCCCGGCGGCTGCTTTGAATTCCTTCGTCTGCACCGGCCTCTCCTGCTACTCCCGGTATGTTCTGGGCAAAAGCCCCAGCGCTGCAGGGGTGGGAACCAGGGCTGGAGGTTTCCTCCTCCTCAGCTTTGGGGTCCCTCAGTCTCTTGGGGGGGGTCCCTCTGGTCAGGCCCAAAGGCAAGGTGCTTGCAGGGTCCTTGCAGGGGGGGCTGACAGGGGTC